TTTTTTTTATAGGCTGACTGACTCCAGACAATAAACAAACATATTTCTTCGTCTTCCTAAAATACGCCAAACTTTTTAAACCTTGGCTAAAGTTACTTGGAACAAGACGTTTTCTGTTTCCTGTCGCTCTCAGTCACGTGGGTTCCGTATCTGGTATGCGGGACGAAAAAGAAACAAAACATTTCAACCTGGAATATGCGAGAAAATAACGGTGAGGCAAAACAAGAATGTGTGACAATCACGCATTTTTCATGAACACCTTCCAGCGGCCCATTCAAGATGGCTGCGCCCTTGTGGAAAAGGTGTATGCGGAGCGTAGGTTCGTCTGCTTCTAGCCCAGGGATTGGGATGATGGCAGAACACCATGATCTTATTGGCTGATTGAAAAAAAAAATGAAAGACGTTTACAAATCTCTGTAATGCGAAATTAGAGCACAGCTCTTGAGGAGGAGGGGTGGGTATGCCTCTCCCCCTCTTCGCCTCTCATTTAGCGGGTTACGTTTCTCCGCTAAATTTAGCGGGTTAAGTTTCCCTGCTAAATTTAGCGGGTGAAATTCCCCGCTTCTCATAGTGCAATGAGTGCGGTGACGCCGACGGCGACGCCGCTCAACCCGGAAACGAACGCCAAGAGCTGCGCTCTAAAATATAGTGGGTAGACCCGAAGGCATCTAGCATTGAGGTCTACCCACTATCCTTCCAATCAGAACTCGGCGTTGTTCTGACGTCACCGCAACTGTCGCGCAAAAAGCAGACGACTTTCTCTACGCATAGGAGGCTCTGGTCCTAAATACATCTCGGGAGAACGGCTGGATGTTGGTAAGGAGGGGAACCAAATGGCGTGACGTCACAATTCGTGACTGTCGTATCTTGCTACGTCACACGCTTCGTTAAACGACGAAACGAATGTCTTTGTGTCAAAATCTGAGCTTCTCGAATTAATTTCCTGATGAAATCTTGCTTATTTTTGGTTTGATAATTTAGGAGCGTAATTGAAGGTACGTAAACTTGCACAAGACGTGAAGACCAACTATCGCTATTTTTAGGTTGGAGAGTCCCTTTAATGAAGTATCTCTTTAGATACTCGCTCGGTCGAAATAGTGGTCGAAATGGGCGGAGAGTTGTGCGTTCTGCCCGGTAGTTCTAGCCTCCTTCGCAGTGGCACAAAATGGCGAACGGGCCGTCCGATTTTACGAATGCCAAACGCGGCAAACGGGGTTGCTGGAGTTTTCAGTATTGACTCGTTAGGGCCTCGTCACATTAACGCATAGCGCATACGTTGCACGGAGTCGTTCTGGCTATATCTAGTTGTCAAGAAAAAACAAAAAAAAATGTTTTTTTTGGTATTTTTTGATAAAATAATAAAAGCTTTCTTTCAATGCACGACACGTATCTTAATTCAACATAAAAGGGGGCCGGGGGGGGGGGGGGGGGGGGGGGGGAGAGATACGTAACGCTTTGTAAAAAGTAGTTTTTTTTTTTTTTGTTACAAGTTTTGAAGGGAGAAAAAGTATACAATTTTTTTTTTCGATTCTCACCAATCTGAGATATGAAAGTATTAATGCAATTTTTCTTGTAGTACGACCCTTCGACTAATTTAAGAGAGCGGTTATGATATAATAAAAGCGAATTAACGGCAAAAAAACAACAAAAAAACTGCATTGTGTAATTTTTTTTTCTTTTTCTTATTTCTGAAACTCAATTTTTGACAGCTAGCAAAACGTACTCCTTTCTGATAAGACAGTTTCACAATATTAAATAAAAAAAACAATATTACTTTAAAAAGAAAGAAGTATATCCTGCGTACAGATGTTTCCATCTCACGTTGAGAAAGGTCTCGCGTAAGCAACGTGAAGTGGCTGGGAGCCGACAACGTCTAAACTCTTCAAATTGAAATAAGTTTGAGAGCGATAGAGAACAAAAGCACGACAAGACTACACGAAGTCTTAAAACAATGAAATATTTAATTTACTTTAACTTTATTTATTGTACCCTTATATCGTCCTCACGGGCCCTCATATAAAAGGGGGGGGGGGGGGGGGGGCAAATATCAATAATACTGTAAAACCCTTAATGTTCGCGAGCCCTCAATTTTCGCGAATTTCACGAATTGAAGAATTCGCGAATTTTAAGGGCGCGCGAAAATTTCGGTTCTTAAGATTTTCAATGCAGGCGTCTGGAATTCGCGAAATTTAGTGGTCGCGAATATGTCATCTGTGACCGATTCGCGAAAAATAGGGGCCGCGAAAATAAAGGGTTTTACAGTATATACCCAAACTCACAAAGAAAACGCATGAAAAAAGGCTTAGGTCACATCGTGAAGAGGGACAAGTGCGGTTCGGAACGGGCTGGGCTCTTCTATTGTTACGGTGTTATCGGGGAGTGCATTCCAATCGGTAATAGACAGCTGTAAGGGGGAAAATTTGTAGATGCTAGTCATAGGAGTGGCGACGTGAAGTTTCCGTGTGTTGCCTGTGCGTGACGAGATGTAAATGGCGGCTCTGCAATACTTATCTTTTTTTGGATGGCGAGTGATAGTACAGCTGGCGCAGGGCAATCAACCGTGACATCTTCCGACGGTCTGCGAGAAGTGGAAGCTTAAGTTGCTGTTATAGTGCTGTAATGCTCGTGCGAGTGTAGTTGTGAAGTGCAAAGAGCTTGGCTTCATATGGCTTCTAGCTTATCGATATGATATGACTGATGCGGATTCCAGATGACTGATGCATATTCGAGCTTGGGTCGGATGAGAGATGAATATGCGATCAGCTTTGTGTCCCGTGTTGCGAGGAAGAGGTGCCGCCTCAGGAAACCGAGAGTTTTGTTAGCCTTCGCATTAAATGTAATTTATGTGAGGCTCCCACAAAAGGTTAAAGGTGAAGTGGGCCCCAAGATATTTCTACGTAGGAACATTTTCAATAGACGTATTGAATATGGTTTAATCGAACTGATGTTGATGCACGTTTGGTAATAATGTTGAGAAATATTGTTTTGGAAACATTAATTTTCACCTGCCACTCTTCAGATCATGTTTCGAGACATGTCGGGCCGTTCTGCAGTAGCGAATGCTCATTCAGACTCTCTATTTCCCGATAGATCACACAGTCGTCGGCATATAATCTGATTGTGGACCGAATACAAGTTGACAAGTCAACTGACTGTAGATTGCTGTTCGTTTTCTTTTTATGTACATTTTTTTCAGTCTTGAGATTTAAAACCATGTAATTGCTCCCAAATCAGCCGCCTACCTGCTTTCAATATTTTAAAGCAATGGGCTTTTTTAATTTGGGAGGGGGGGAGGGACGATAAAAATTGGGAGGGGGAGGGACGTCTTGGCTTATAAACGTGAAACGAAGTATAAACATGAAAAATCATGAGCCAGTAGGTTATTTGAGGAGATTCGAGTGCTTAAGAGCTTGTAAGTATACGCATGTTGCGGTACTTCTTGAAGGCATAGGACAGGGTGGCTTACGCCCGATAGACCCTTATTGGCTAATGTCTTGAAAATCCTGTGTAACGTTTTTGTTGTTGTTTAATTTCGACACACGGTGGCATGTTATTAAAATATCGCACGGAAATTTAATTGGTGAAGTACCAATTTGATGGCAACTAAAACGCAATGTAAAAATTGAAAAAAAAAAAATTTCTCGGTCGGTTTTATTTAAAAACAAAATATCTTTTTGGACATTTAGTGATTCTCGTTGTAAACGAAAAACGGATACACGATAGTGTACGGTTATTCGAGGTTTCAGAGGTGGCACCGTTTTTTTTTTAATTAGCAGTAGTTTTTATTAAACTAGTATTCTAGTATTTCTACAGTTAGAGCGGGCGTTGTCGCTTAGTTGCATCATTTCATACAAAAAAAAAAAGCTATTTTCTTTTTTTTGTTTACTAGTATGCGTTTTGTGCAATTCAAACCTAATTAAGATATCTTGAGATTAATACCTAATATTCATATCTGAAATAATATTTGTCTGCACTTTCGAATTCGAGAGAAAATAAAACATTACAAGAATTTGTAGCCCCACTGAAGGTGGGCACCAGCTCGCCTCACTTCCTGGGAAGTTGGCTTTGCCACCTCGAGGGGCATGTTGTGGTGAAGTGCCCTTTGGGTTCGCGTTCGCGCCATCCGGAGTAAGGCCGCATTTTTAACGAATGTCGTTGCCATAACGTGCTCGTTATTTTTAGCTACGCTCGATTTCAACCGTGTTAGCGGCAGTCTCCAACCTAATCGCCTGGTGCTTCTCGCGTCTAACGAGCCATCAAAGGCCTAAACCTTTTCCGCGGGGGGAGTCGGTTCTTCGCACATGCGGCCGACTGGCCAAAACCCAAACTGGATACAGTACTCGAAAAATGGCATCTCCATTTCGTACTACACTACTGCGGACGAGTAGCCCACCCGGTAAGAAAAGAAAACCACCGAGCCAACCTTCCCTCCGCCACCAGCGTCGGTTCCATTGAAGCTGCGCTCCAGTGACGAATTTCGACCGGACGTGACGCGCGCCGTGACGTCGCGGAAGTGGCGCGCACCCATTGGTCGTTCTGTGCTGTTGACGTCACACGCGAGAACGCTCGCTGCCGCCTGCGCCGCCGCCGCTTCGCTTTTTTTTTTTTTTTTTTCCAACCCTCCCCGTACGGTTTTCACGCTAGCGAGCCCAAGCCGCTCGCTGCTCTACTCTCCGCTGTGTTTTGTGGGGCTGGTGCGTTTTTTGCGCGGCTTTTCACGCCTCTTTCAGCGTCCACGTCTTCGCGTACGACGGAGGATCCCTCACGACTTCTCGGGCTCGCAACTCCGGTGGAGGTGGGGAGTGAGAAAGAAAAGAAATCCTCGTTCGGTGTGGTGCGGTCCCTCGTTGGCTCTCGTATGTGCGTGTGCGGCGTGTGAGGAGCGCGTGAGGCCTAAGTGACAGCGCCAAGCGGGCGGCGAGCGGGCGATGTGTCGACGACCACGGCCGGCTGTGGCTCTAGAAGCCGGTTCGGCGGCGTCCCAATGAAGCAACGGCGGCGTGCGACCGACGGCGACAAGCCTGTTTTCATTCCCGCTCTTCGGAGGCCCGAAGGGGGCCCTCGCGTCGGTGCTGCCGGGTCGGCCGATGACGACCGCGCCAAAACCGGGGCCCCCTGTGGCAACGGGGCCCCCTCCGCAGCCCGACTTGAGCCATCTGACCGAAGAGGAACGCCGGATCATCGAGTCAGTCATGGCACGGCAGAAGGAAGAGGAAGACCGCGAGAAGGAGATACTCAGGTGGGTCTCTCGGTCGACTAGGCTTAGGGCCTGGGGTCTCCCTTTGCCACTTGCGGCCGCCCGTCGCCTCGCTTAGGTCTCATTTTCCTCGCTTTAGGAGTGAGTTATGAGGGCTGTTTTAAGGCCGTGTGTTACGTGCGCGAGTGTGCGAGACCGGGGGCCGCGTTTTTTCTTCTTCTCGTCGTCTGCTATCGCTCCGCGAACCGCAGTTTCTGATGGAGGAGGTCTCGTAAACGCTCCCGAAAGTTTTTTTTTTCCTTCTTTTTACCGTTTCGGAATCGAGTTTCGGTTTTGGTATTGGTGATGTGGTGGTGAGAATCTGTGGTGATCTGAATTGAGGAGGTATGGTCGGTGATTTCAGATCGGTTTCGAGATTTTTGCGAAAACGATACGGGTGAATTTGAGGCCGGGCTGTCGGGAATCGTGGAGCTGCATTAGGCCTAACGGGAGATCCGTCTGCGCTCGATTCAATGAGGTCGCCTGTTTCATTTGCTTCTATTTCTACTTCGGTTACGTTATGAACATTTAGGAGTGGTCATGGTTGTGGCGAGTGTTCACGATCGTTGAAACACTTGTATTTTTCAGTATAGAGGCGTATTTTAGGTTCATTCTGCGACGGTTTGTGACACCCAAGGGTTCCGTGGAAAGCGATATGCCAACGTCAAGTCACGATCTGTTTTGTTGTATGTGTCTGTGCGTTCCGCCGCCAACGATAAAGCATCTTTGAATATTTATTTACTGTAGAGCCCTTCTGCCACGCAAAAATATATACAATTTTATTTTTGCTCTTAATAATTCGGACCAGATTGAATTGTCCGCCTTACACTGTGGGCCTTTTTGAAAGATTCTATGTACAGACTTATGTGCATGCACTCAGTTATTTTTCTTTAGAATATATATATATATATATATATATATATATATATATATATATATATATATATATATATATATATATATATATAGAGAGAGAGAGAGAGAGAGATTTATCAGCGAAAAAAGATGTGCGCTTGCAGTGTATGACGTATGCGGTGTGCAAATTGTTATCCGTGCCCTTTCCGTGAGATTGAATGGCGTGACTCTCCAATGGATAAGTCTGCATTCTGTCAAGCGTCATATATAAATTTTCGAGGGCCTTCCGTAGCCAAGAAGCAGCGGTGCGTCAGCTGAGGATAGAGACAGCCACAAGACGTTTTACAACCCAGTTTGACCCTTTCAAGGGCCATTTCTAGAAGTCTAGAAGACGTCTTTTAAGCGTCTTCCAAGACCTCTTGTAGCTCAATTGAAGGACGGCACTTTTCAAAAGACGCATAGGGCTATATGATGTCCTGCCAGGATGTCTTCAGGAGTTCCCGTACATCTTGCCAAGACGTCATGTAATGCCCACCAGTCGTCTCTGTGTTTAGCGGGGTGGGTACATGCGTCGCTCGGGGATTCGACTCCTCTTAAGCGAAATAATAGGCGATTGTAGTGGACCGTTTTTATCCTCCGCTACGGTACCCGTCAAGAAAACGCCGCTGCTGCGCATGCGCGCCGCCAGCCTTGTCTGCATAGTTCAAGGTCTTGTGGCGGATTACGGAGCGCTATCCGGGTGCTTAGCGGGCTGCGGAAACGGTCTACTACAATTCCCCATTAACCATTTTAATCGGACACTGTTGTCGTACCTCATTCCCATCGTCTTTTTTCTTAGCTCCGAATCTGTCCATTCTATTAATCGAAGGGATAAGAACGGCAGTGCTCCCGCCTCGGGTGTCCGACCCCCAGCACGTGCTCGTTGCTTTCCGTGGTGCTTTGACGTGCTTTGCTTTCCGCCGTGCTTTTCGTCGTGCGCTGGAAGCTCGCGAGACGCCCAGGCGTTGTCGAAGGTACAGAAAGCTCGCGCTCGAGGCGGCGGGACAACCGAACAGACTTACCTGCCGTTCTAATCCTGTCAGTGGCCATAGCTGTTGCGGCCACCGGACCAAACGGTGGCTTCAACTCGCGTCCGATAAATGCCGTTTGCTCCGCGTTTTCTTCGTACCTCTGACCTTCTATGCAACCCGACGAGATGGAAGACATCCTGCGCCTTTTCGCACGCGTGCTTCTTCTGTTTGACATCGAGTATATTTTTCGCCTTGCTTTTTTTTTGCTTTGCTTCGGATTTTTGTTTTATGTGCTGGTTGACAATAGCGTTCGGCGAGCTTAGTCGTTTTCTCGCATATGCGTGCCGCAGTTGCTGTAAATTTTTTTTTCGTGATTTATGGCGGCTACATGACGTATAGGAAGAGCTAGGAACACGAAATACCAGTGACCCTAGTAAAAGAGCAACCGCGGTGTCGTCGCCATTTCTAATCAGAAATACATCCGCAGAAAAAAAAAATAAAATAAAAAACAGCGATCTGTTTTTAAACGCGCCGCTATTCCGTGTAGTGCGTGCTTGTTCTCCTTTTTCCATAATGTTTGAACATTTGTCACAATTTTTTAAACGTAAAATTAGCATTTCACAACACGGTTTCTTCTCTGGCAGGTCTGTGGAGACCAATCTAGTATCATTTTTAAACTTCGTTTCGCCGATTACCAATCAGCGTGGGCAGGTAGACGCCGTATACTTTGATCTATCGAAAGCGTTTGACTTGGTTAATCATTCAATTCTTGTCCATAAATTGGGGACATATGGAGTCAATAACCAGCTTTGCAAATTTTTTTTGAACTATCTGATGGAAAGAAAAAACTTCGTTCGTATAATGGGACATCATTCTAAACCTTATGTGTCATTTTCGGGTGTGCCACAGGGGTCCATACTAGGACCAATTTTATTCAATGTCTTTATAAATGATCTTGGTTCTTGTGTCCGCCATTCACATATTTTGCAATATGCTGACGACATCAAATTGTTTAGGCAGGTCTCATCCATCTACGACTGTGAAATGATACTGGAGGATGTTAATGCTGTGCATCATTGGTGTTGCCGCAATTTGTTAACACTAAATCCTAAAAAAAACTGTAGTTATGTCCTTTTCTAAGAAACTGGAAATTGTAAGTTTTTGTTATTATCTTGAGAACCTACCTCTGCGTAGGGTTGAATGCACAAGAGATCTAGGAGTATATATTGATTCATCTTTGTCATTCAATGAACATGTTTCCAACATCACAAATGCTGCCTATCGGACGCTAGGTGTTATTTCGAGAATAACACGTGAATTCCCTTCGTCAGCTTGCATATTCATTTTGTATTTTTCATTAATACGTAGCAAGCTTGAGTTTAGTTCTGTTGTTTAGAATTGTATTGGTAATGCAAACCAAGCAAAAATCGAAAACGTGCAGAGACGTTTCTTCCGTATTGTATATGATCGCTATATTGGCCGCAGTGTTTATTATGAGTATAACAGGCTTTTACGACGATGTGATTGTACCACACTAAGCTCGAGAAGACTTGAGCGCGATCTAGTTTTTTTGTATAAATGCGTTCATGGTTGCATTGACTGTTCGACCCTTACATCAGCTATTAGCATATATGTACCGCGAGTGCTTTTGAGGGTTAATCCCACTTTCTCAGTTCAAAAAATCAACCTCTCCAGTCCCATGAACCGCATCCAACATTTTTATAACAGGTTCAGTACAACCAGCATCGACATCGACATTTTCAACTCAAGTGTTCAAGCGTTTAGGTGTTCTCTGGCTGATATTTAACTGTTACCTATTTCCTGTTCCCCCATAATAGATATTAGCTGTTGCATGTGCTGTTGATTTCTTATGTGTGTTTCTTTTGACTCTGTGCATCATTACATATGCTACTCGCCGTTCATGAGCACGAAAAATAAATGAATGAATGAATGAATGAATGAATAATTCTTTTCTTTGCAAAACGACCGTGTTTAAGAACTAAAAAAAAAAAAAAAAAAACTTTAAATTTTTGTAGCTTGCTTTTTTTTTAATTCAAAGAGGTATTTTGATAAAACTTAACTTGGGAGTTTTTTTTATATATTTTTTTTCCCGTTCTCTCACACTTTTATTTTCGCAGAATGCATCATCTAGCCCAGCTTTCCATTCTATTGACTTTTCAGTAGACTCATTTTGAGAAGGCAGAAGCAATGATGACGTTCGTTTTACAAGCGCGAGGTCCAACAGCCTCGTAAATTGCGACGTGAAAAACGCTAGAACTGCAATTAATTTGAGCATACACACAGGTTGTCTGTACACGTGATAGGTACGCTTTTAATTGGTTATGCTGAGATAAGTAGTACAGCAAAACCGTTTTGCCTGGCGTCATTTGTACGGCAGACTGAAATGTTTACCTGCACTACTTGTGCTAAATGCGAGCTCCATTTGTGCTTCGACAAATATCTATTCTGTGATCCAGTCCATATCAAGTTCTTCACTCACACGAAAACGACGGCCACTGATTTTCTCCTTTGAAGGCTTCTGAGCACGGGTACATAATTATTATTTTTTTTCCTCGCGTAAGGTGTATCATTTAAAAGCTCGCCTGTATGGGGACGCGATTTCTGAAAGCTGCGAAGCCTGGTGGTAAGAGGGGTAATGCGAAGATATGCTGCCAATTTTGAAATCTGTGGGAGTGTGAATTTTTAATGATGCAGGTTAAATGTGGGTATAGTTTCAGTACCGTAACGCCCCCCCCCCCCTCCCCCTTTTCCTCTGATGTTTTAGGCATTTTTTTTTTAAATTTAAACATTCTTGCATTCTGGAAAAGAAGCACCCCGCACCACCCACCTCCTCCCCCATCTTTCCAACACTGCCGACGCCCCTGTGTGCTTGTAGTTTCCCCATATTTTATGCACGAAATTGTATACCATAATTTGCCGGGGTCGCTCTGTATTAGATCAATCACCTTGAATGGATATATGTAACTTTACCGAGTGGGAAGTTTAGACTATCTTAAAACGGCGTTTGATGTGTTTCCAGTGGAGTTCAGTTACAAACTTAGTGCGAGGCGCAATAGTGATAATTAGTGTGCGCGCCGATGCAACTACCGTCCAAATCGAAACCTGTAGGAATGGGTA